TATATATGAGATTGAAAGAAATTGGATTTATTGATGATAAATGTATGAAACCTGATTGTTGTGTATTCAAAACACGTTCAGTTCATTAGTACTACAGAAATCTTACCTGTTTTTTATGTGTGACTGACAAATATGCATCACATGAGTTTGTTTATGTTAAAATGGTATAATTCAAATAGATTTTGTATTCAAATACAGAAATCCTAAATATTTAGGCCTAATTGTTTAGAGTTTAGACAATAACATAATTTCAATATCAGATATTCTTCAGAAACACATACCGATATTTTTTTGACCTATGCTGCCATTAACTCTTGTTGTTTGTATGATGCTGATATTAACTTAATTAACTGTTTAATGTCTTTCAGATTTACTATCATGGTGAACCAATCAGTGTCAACGTCCATGTCACAAACAACACAAACAAGACAGTAAAAAAAATCAAGATTTCAGGTCATTCAGTTATTCATAGTGGACAGACTTTGTATTTACACTAGTGTGTTGTTAAGAAACAATAACACTTATTTCTATTATTGCAGTGCGTCAATATGCTGATATCTGCCTCTTCAACACTGCCCAGTACAAGTGTCCAGTGGCGACAGAGGAATCAGAGTAAGTCCTCTGCAAACTGAACACTCAGCTACCGTATGAGAACACAACTTTACATCCGATTAATTACTCTCTGCTTTGTTCCTGTTCTAGTGATATCGTGGCCCCCAGTGCGACATTTTGTAAAGTATACACTCTCACGCCTTACCTCGCGAATAACCGAGAGAAACGTGGCTTGGCTCTGGATGGCAAACTCAAACATGAAGACACAAATTTAGCCTCAAGTACATTGTAAGTACAATCCCTCATTTAAAAGTGGATTGTGTTTCTTGTAACGTTTATTAATTCACCTTTCCATGGCATTATTTCTAAAAAGGTTAAGAGAGGGGGCCAATAAGGAAATTCTGGGCATCATTGTTTCTTATAAGGTGAAAGTGAAGCTGGTGGTGTCTCGCGGAGGGTACGTTTGCATTTTGATCATCCTGTGTGGCGTGTGATGCTAGAATTAACTTTACAATAAAATTAAACAAATGTCCTACTCCTCATAGCACATAGGCATTTGCAACACGTTCTGACTTCCAACTTGTCACACACTGGTCAGGACCCCTTGGCATCACTTTGTAATGCACAGGGTACCCCTTTAGCACAACTTTTTGATATGCAGGGTATTCCATTGCTTTCAGTTGTTTGCCTTATGCATCAGCTCAAGACACATTTAATGATTTTCATGCATTTGTAAAAACAGAAATTATGTTATCTAGATTTATACTTTCATAGATATTTTGAGCACCTAACCCCACCCCTACACTAAACATACCCACGTCTCAACATTATAAAACGCATAACAGGAAAATAAAAGTACAGTCACAAGTATTTACTGCAAAAACTGACCAAAAATCAGTGTAAAAGTATCATAAACAACTCGTGTTGCCTTTCAAGTCTTCTGAAAAACAAAATGAAACACAAGGATTTAATCGCTGAAGATGATCCCGCTCTATTAACGAGGTCCGAACTGTTAACACCTGAACTTTAGCATGACGCAGTTGGTCACAAGACACACAAAGAGCCAATGGCATTTCACTTTTTGAATGTGCTGTACGGCAGATGATGGAGACGGTGATCGCGTCTCCTCTCACAAATCAATCGTTTGCCCTCGGAAGACTTGGAATAATTGTGACTGTAGTTGTATCTGCCTGTTATATCCTGTGTTTTAGATTGACAAGTGTTTGGGTTTAGGGTCAGGGGTTGGGTTATGTGCTCATAAATGTCTAAATAGTGTAATGTAATGTAAATAAAATTGCTGTGGCTGTTTAAATTGAAAATCATGCCCCAACATCAGTGGTGTGCGGTGGTGTTCTGAAATGAGGAGGCAAAGTCCACAGTTTTTTTTTTTTTGATCAAATGTAAATTCATGTCCTAGTCACATTTTTTTGGTTAAATAAACATTACTTACACTATCATAAAAAGAGAAAAACAAACAAAAAACAATTCAATTCTATTTTATATTGTATTTTTTACATTAAAAATGTAAACAATATTCTATTTATTAAATCCAAGTATGAATCTCATCAAGTTAGTGTTTTAAAGCATTTTAAAACATTTATTCCAAAATAATAACTCAAGACAGTAACAGTTTAAACAATATATTTTATATGTGAACTTATGTTCATATTCTTTTTAATAGTTAACTTTGAACTATTTTAGAATTTTTCAGCTCATCAGTCAGCAAAGCTCGGCGAATATTGGTCACAGACACAAAGATTTACCTTAACTTTCACCAAGCTGTTTACTCACTAAAAACTCCCACAGATCATGTTTTGAGGCCATTTCAATTTGTCTTATTTTGACGTAACAGTGGGTTGTTTACTTACTTTTTTAAATGAGTCTCCCCATTTTTTTAAATTAGTTTTCCCATTAACGCCATTAAATTGTTCATTCAGACTGATTCGCGAACGAAGAATGCACACGAACACAAAAGTCGGGATTAATCACACGAACCAATCACAGCCGAACATAACCAGTCATATCCAATCAAATCATGATGGAGGCATTGCCTCCTCTCACATGACCTGTTAAAACTCAATGGGTTCAGGGGAGGCGAGAGAGACGTGGACTCCTACTATAACTTTACCTGCTGGTGTCGCTGTTGGACAATGTTTCTTTAGAAAAACGAGCAATTTATTTAATGTTATATTTTGTAATATTGGCATTGTTTTATTTTTGTACTATGAATTTTTTTCTCATCCAATTTTTTGAGGAGGCACTGCCTCTCATGCCTCCCCGGAGGAAACGCCCCTGTCCAACATATATGTTATAATGGCAAAATTATTAGCCATTATATAATTTTATCATGACGATAAAATTCTCATGTCCTTTGCTTCAGAATATTGACAGCAAAGGTTTACCCTGGCCTGCACACTGAAAAATGTATGCTAAAGTGGTACCCTGTTTGTTAAAAAGTCACCTGACCAAGTGTCAATATGTGACAAGTTGTGAGTGAGAATGTGTTGGCATTTGTGCTAAAGACATGAAACCTCAAATTGTGCAACTTATTGAGGAGAGTTGAGGTATCATTTTTCTAAGCATTTGACTTGTATATATGGTGGACCATACATATGGCAAACAAAAAAACCTAGCAACTGCATAGCAACATGCTATAAACATCCTCAACTCCCCAGCATTGTAGCCATGGGTTTAGCAAAAGGACCGTTCACAAATCCTTAAAAAAAAAAAAAAATCTAGTTACCATTATCATTATAACTGATTAAAAGGGGAATTTTAGACTGCACAAATGTATTAACAGGGTCAAAATGACCAATATTGGATTCAATTGTTTTATTAAAAGAAAAGATTCTAGGTTTATCTTTATTTTCAGTGTAATGAAAGATTTTTATTATACACAAATATGGTTTGTTTAGTTGTTCACTTCCCATGTACAATAAATGAACTCGAAAATGTAATTCAGTATAAATAATTATATGTGTGGTAATGTTAGAAATTTTAAACATTACATTTGTTTATGTAATGAGACTGGTACCAGTCAAAAATGTGGACACAAATGGTCTTTTGGATCATGACAAACATTCATTCTGGTGTGCCTGACTTGTAGTTTATATGAAATAATTTTTTTTTTTTTTTTTTATAAAGATAGACAGATTAGTAGCTAGACAGATAAATTTGACCCCCTTTTTTTCATTCCAGGGTTACATTGAAATGACTTTGCTAAATCAATATGGAATGCTTACTATTGCAATACAGTAAGATCATGTTTTATTTTAGCCCATTTTATTTTTTCAGGCTGCTTGGAGATCTTGCCTCAAGGTACTGTGATCTTTATGTTTATTCCTACCAGAAATTATTCTGTTTTTAATGTGTGCAAATGTTTGACACCCTCCCGTTGAAACCGGATTAAAGCTGCTCCATAGTGAATTTCATTGACAAGGACTGACCATATATTGAAGAGTCTGTCTTACACGGCTGACTCCAGCCAATTGTGCACATTAGAGATTCCTATAAGTAGCCAAGCTTTTGACTAGAAGCACAGACAGGCTCAGACACTTGATAAGATACCATGAATTACTGAACCATTTGTGCTGATGCTTTTAGGCCAGTGGTTCCAGCACTCTGTTAGCACCTCATGAGTGATGGGATTGAGGTTTGGTTGCAGCGTATCCTAAATGGCCAGGGTTTATTTGGTTATCATGCCTCTTGGATGCCTTACTCTCATGATTTGCATTTCCCTCTTCAGCGATGTTGCCGTTGAGCTCCCCTTTACATTAATGCATCCCAAACCATTGGAGGAATCGATTTACAGAGATGGTATGTGCCTTTTTATCTGCTTTCATATTGCTCTGGGTAACTAGTTTACAGCTAGGATTTATTTTTAGTGTGAGATCAGTTACAGCACCTAAAACATAGACTTTCCCTTATGCAGGGAATATAAAAAATGTATTATAAAAGGTTTTGAATGAAATATTAAAATATTGTAAATATGGTAAAAAAAAAAAAGAAAAAAAAAAATATATATCAAAAATATATACTTCTTAACTCCTAACATGTCAGTACTGAATTCCTTCTGTACAAATATGTGCAGAACAGCCAAAAGCTAAAAGCTGAAAAATAATGTTTTGTGGTTGTTTGATTGAATAGCTGCCCGTGGGTGAGATTTTAGTAGCAAAGAAATTCAAAAATAATAACCGTTTTGACGAATGAAAACATCTATGTGCAGACACCTTTGTAAAGTGGGTTCTTTAAGTGGGAAATTATGCCCATTACCTACAGAGTGCCAATCAATATTCCTTCTGCAACCTTCTTGTTTTAGCTCCAGAAAATGATGCCCCCATTGACACCAACCTCATTGAATTTGACACAAAGTAAGTGAAAGTCTTTTCCATGGTGTAATTGGACTTTAACCTACTAAACTGCTTTGAGCCTTGTGGTTATACATATTTACATATAATTCTTACTTGTTTATGTATGTATGTATTTATGTATGTTTAATCAAAAATTTTGTCTGTCATTTTTATAAGAATTCTCTTATGCTCAGCAGGGCTACAAAAATACTGTACAGCAAACCAGTAATATTGTAAAATATAATTACAATTTAAAATAACTTTTTTCTTTCTGAATACTGTAAAACGTAATTTATAGATGTGATGCAAAGCTGAATTTTCAGCAGCCATTACTCATCTTTAGTGTCACATGATCCTTCAGAAAATGTTTTACAATTGTTTTCTATGGAAGCCCGTTTCCGCCACTGAATAAAAAATAAAAAAGGTAATTGTGACTTTTTATCTCACAATTCTGAATTTATTTCTCAGACTGAGAACATATCAATCCCCCCCCCCTCAAAATTGGACTTTAACTCGCAATTGCGTGTTATAAAGTCAGAATTGCGAGAAAAAAAATCTGAATTGCGAGATATAAACTCGCAATTGTGAGAAAAAAGTCAGAATTGCGAGTTTTTATCTCGCAATTGTGACTTTATATCTCGCAATTCTGAGAAAAAAAGTTAGAATTGAGAGTTTATATCTCACAATCCTGACTTTATATCTCGCAATTCTGACTTTTTTATTGTGAGATAAAAAGTCGCAATAACCTTTTTAATATTTTTTATTCAGTGGCAGAAACGGGCTTCCATAGTTTTCAGCATTTCAGCATTGATAATTGTAAGAAATGATTCTTGGGCACCGAATCAGCATATTACTGTAGACTGATTTTTGAAGGATCATGTGACACTGAAGACTGGAGTAATGATGCTGAAAATTCAATTTGTAGTGAAACCTAATCTAACTGAGGGATAGGAATCGCGAGAAATTTAATGATCCTAGTTCAGATTCTATTCCACTAAAATTCTCTTTGTTTGATTTTTACTAAAGCTAATTGAAGGAAAAAAAATATATGAAATGTCATAAATGGTAATGATTGCTCACTGCAAAGCTGTCTGTTCTTTGCCAACTTCTTGTCCATAAGAAAAAAGAACAGCAGAAAAATGCGTTCACGGAAACACACAACTGATGAATGTTTCTGTAATTGTTTGTCCCTAGTGACGATGACATCATCTTTGAGGACTTTGCTCGACAACGACTGATTGGGGCAAAAGATGACAAAGATGAAGATGAGGAGGGTGCCTATTCGCCCAAACTGAATGACAGATAGATTGCAGATAAGAGTTTCCTTGTTGTGACAATAAAAGAGACCCTTTTGAGATAACCTGGAAAATGGGACACCCTTTAACACACTCACAGTGGTGCAGTTGTTGTGTTCTTGTTCACATTTGTCTCTTCCATCCTGCAAGGGTGTACAGTAAAACGTAAGTGTAGAAAATGTGACCTTGTCGTTGAAGCGATTAGAAGGTGAGATTTTAGTTGATAGGCCGGCCACTGAGTGCCTCGGATATTTGAGGGTCATTTAGGGTTGAGGCAATGGCTTCTCATCATAGCTAAATCAAACGTCAGTGGTAGCATGCCTTTTGTTGTTGCTTTGTTTTATAGATTCTTCCTTTGATTAGAACAGAGGAAGAGTTTAAGGACCGTGACTTAGTATTGAACCATATTTAATGTATGGAATTTGTTGTTTTAATTACTGTAAAAGGAACTGAATTTAGTATTTTTATTATAAAAGCTGCCAAATTGAATCATCTTTATAATGTCTCATGTCTCAACTGAGAGCATCTGAATCAGTCATTGCAGAGTGAAAGTATTTTTTTTTTTCACTTTTCGAAAGAAATTATATCTCAAAGTTATCTTACCTAACAAAAGTTATGAATACACTACTGATAAAAAGACTATATGACATAATGCAACAACCATTTATGACATTTTTTTTCTCTCGCAACAATCTTCAACTATTTCTAAAAGTGGGTTTCTATGAAATCATTTAATTATAAACAATGCCTATATATCTTTAAGGGGACTATATATTGCTATATGATATTTTTACATAAGTGAAGCTTCTCAAACAGAGCACCTATGAATAGTCATGAGCTACAAACATTCTAGTTATAGTCTCTATTCTGAATAAATTATATGTATGCTTAAATCTGTCTTCTGTGGAACAGAAAATAACTTTTGAAGAATGTACTGCCATTTTCCCCTTGCTATCACAATTAACTGAGAGCTTTCAAGCTTCAGTAAGGATTTAAAAGCTACAGAGTATCATGAAAAATCCCTTCAACTTGTGCCATGTGCATAATTGTATGAAATGTTCTGAATTAATACGGCTTGTGTGATTAAGAAATCAACATTTAAGTTGTTATTCATGAATAATCTTTCCAGCACCTGGAACTGGATTAGATTTTGAATTAATTATTTAATAATTCATTATTCGATTCTCTAACAGTTCAAGCTCAACTGTTTACTACTGTCCTCTTTTAGAGCTGCTTTACGGCAGAATTGAATTTTGTTTGCATTATTGAAACTATTTTCCTGTTTAACACTGTAAAGCTGCTTTGACACAATATGTATTGTATAAAGTGCTATATAAATAAAGATGACTTGACTTTAACAAATCAAAATGACTTCAGCACACAGACTCACATGGAACGCTTCTATGATGCTTTCAAGATGTTTTTTTCTCCATATGGTCCTTTTTGAAGCTTGAAAGCTCCAGTCCCCATTAATTGTAAGTGCTTTGAAAAAAGAAAAAAAAAAAAAAAACAGCACATTCTTTAAATTTATTTTGTGTTCCATGAAAGAAATGAAGTCATGCAGGTTTAGAAACAAAATAACAGTGAATAAATGATGACAGAATTCAAATTTTTGGGCAAATTATTAATTCGAATCTTCTATGGACAATTTCATTCTTGTCCAAACTACTCTAAGTCACATCCAGTAATTCTCTGAACTAGAGAGCTACCAGAACTAAATGACACTTCATTGGAAATGTAGCTATTTATACATTGCAAAGATTATGTGCTTTCTATATGAATGAGGCCTTGACTTGCTGCATGAAACGTCAACAATTTGTATGTTTTGTGAATGAAACATTTTGTAAAAAGAAAAGAAATGAAAAAAAAAAAGATAAAACGAGAATGATTAATTGAAAATTTATTATTCAGTGAACTGATATAATATAATTCCCATGTGTTGGATAAACCACAATTATAAAATAAATAAACTTGACTATTGGCATAAGGCAAGATGTGTCAATGGTATTGATGATTCACTGTAAGAAGAAATGACAATATATTAAATATATAATGTTGTATATATCAAAGTCTTTGTTTCTTCTTTATATTCTATGTATTTACATTTAATGTAACATCAAATGATACAAATTAGGTACAATATACAGTTCAAATGAAGACTTTGAAGTATTTGGACACTTTGTGGTTATCAATGTCAGTGGATCAAACAGTTAATTTTAATGCACTACATTACAGTCCTTGGGCCTCATTTATAAAATGTGCATACGCACAGATTTGATCTTCGAGTGTGCGTACGCTAAAATCCACGGCAACGTTCATATTTATAAAAACGGTCTTTGCCGTGGAAAAGTACTTACCGCCACGTCAGGGTCTGAGCAGGCGTACGCACTTTTCCTTGTGGCAAAGTCGGAGTACTGCAGCTATTTGAACATCTAAGCTGCAATAATAATAAAAGCGGTGTACGTGCCAGCACCGAATTCATCATAAACAACAAAGATGCAGTGTAAGAGATTAATTGTGTAGTGTAGTCAGATTTTTTATTAACGGGAGTTTTTGCGAGATTAAACTGACCTTTTTAGTAGCCTAATGTTGAGAGTTCTTTACATGCTTTCTGTTCACAGTTTATTCCATCTTGTTTTTTATTATTTTATTTTACAAGAGAACTTGCGAAGTCTTGATTTACTACTAATGCGTAAAATAGAAAAAAAAATGTATAAACGCATCTCTGACTCTTTTGTCTGTGTAGCCTATAAGAATAGGCCTATGTCATGCAATAATGGTTTTAATATATTCTATTCAATAACATTGTTAACTGTTTTTATTTATAACATCTGCTGCTTTGCTTCTGTGAAAATGAATAGAGACATCAGCCTTAAACTTTGTTTTTGTCATTTACATCAGTTATATTACCTTCCTGGATTCCTCTCCTCTTCACAGCGCCCCCGATCTCCCAACCTGCAAAGTACAGGACAGTATTATTACTACCTCTCCTTCTGTTTCTACAATCCATTGCTGCATTGCTCATCTGTTTGCTCATTCACTCCCTGTTGTTAATAAACGGTTTAAACTGACCATCATCTTTCTGAGTCGTTCGGTTACAGAAGACCAGACCACCAAAGAACATACAGCAGGATGAGCGCCCCGGATCCGTTTCAGGAGATCATGGACGCTCTCAAACGAGCACTCACGGCACCCTCCCCCGCTACCGTGGGCAACAACACTCCTTCTCCTCCAGTCGCCTCCAGTCCCGTGGCCAATCCAGCGCCCTACTCTGGCTCGGCGGAGGATTGCAATGGCTTCCTCTTGCAGTGTTCACTGGTGTTTGAGATGCAGCCCCATCGTTTCACCACGGATCGGGGAAAAATTTCTTTCATTATTTCTCTGTTATCAGGACGAGCTCTCCAATGGGCGGAAACAATTTGGATGCAAGGTGGTCCAGCAACCCAGTCATTAGATTATTTCATTAACCATTTCCGTGAGGTATTTGGTCATTCCACTGACTACTCATCGGTTAGTGAAAAACTCTATCACCTAAAACAAGGCAAAATGTCTATTCAAGATTACTCTCTGAAATTTCGCACTTTAGCAGCTGCTAGTGGCTGGAACGAGTGCTCTCTCCTGACCACATACCGTCAAGGTTTGAATCCCCAACTGCGGCTGCATCTCGCCACCTATAGTGACACCATTGGATTAGAGAGATTCATCCAGACTGCCAATCAAGTATCCAACAGAATACAACAATGTAATGAAGAACTCCGGGTTAGTCCTCCCTGCCAGCCAGAGCAGGAGAGTGCTCCAGAACCCATGCAACTTGGCAACACCCGACTTCCGTTCACGGAGCGGCAGATGAGGCTGGCCCAGGGTCTCTGTTTATACAGTGGAACAGCTGGACATGCTATCATTTCATGTCCCATTCGCCCCCCACGACCTGTGGTGAGTGTTATCCAGGAACCTTTTGTCGATAAAGTTCCACTCACTACTTTGGTACATATTTCTGTCTTTGATAATTCCCTCTCTCTCTCAGCACTCCTCGACTCTGGGTCAGCTGGAAACTTCATCTCGGGGAACCTCTGCCGCCAGCTTAGGCTTCAAAGGGCCGCCATCCAAAACCACTACCAGGTTCAATCAATAATCGGTAAACCCCTATGTCAACATGATGTAAGATTCAAAGTGGGACCTCTGCTGCTTCGAGTTGGGACTTGTCATCAGGAAAGCATTTACCTACTGGTTCTGGAGCACTCCACCGCGGACATCATACTGGGTCGCCCTTGGCTCAACCAACACCAGCCTGAAATATACTGGAAGACTGGAGAGATCCTGAAGTTGGGCAATCAATCCTTTCCGGAATGTATCCCTACGCTACCCCTCAACCGTCCATCACTCCATCCAGTGCTACCGGTTTGCACCACGTCCATCGAGAGTGCCCTAGAGAAACAATCCATAAACATACCCACCACCTGCTACGCCCCCTTTAGTGACGTGTTCTGTCCCAAAAGGGCGACCCAGCTTCCACCACATCGGCCATGGGACTGTGCGATTGACCTCATACCAGGTGCGCCAGTGCCCCGTGGTAGAATCTATCCACTCTCCATACCTGAGCAGAAGGCCATGGAGGAGTACATTGAGGAGGCTCTCCACCAGGGTTATATTCGACCATCCAAGTCCCCTGCTGCTTTGAGGTGGCCAAGAAGGACGGAGGCTTGCGGCCATGCATAGATTACAGAATCCTTAACAACAGTACAGTCAAATTCCGCTACCCACTTCCCCTCGTCCCAGCTGCATTGGAACAACTGCGTGGAGCCACCGTGTTCACCAAGTTGGACCTCCGCAGTGCCTACAACCTCATCCGGATATGTGAGGGGAACGAGTGGAAAACCGCCTTCATGACTCCAACCAGCCACTACGAATATCTGGTAATGCCGTATGGATTGGTCAATGCCCCCTCCGTATTCCAAGACTTCATGCATGAGGTTCTTCTGGTGGCTGGGCATGGCACGTGACGTTAGGAGGTTTGTCCAAGGTTGTAAGGAATGCGCCATCTCCAAGAGCCCACGCCACTTACCAGCAGGCAAGCTCCAACCTCTGCCCATTCCACATAGACCCTGGTCACACCTGGGAGTGGATTTTATCACAGACCTACCATCCTCTGCCGGTAAGACTTGCATATTAGTCATAGTAGACCGATTCTCAAAGTCATGTCGCCTTATTCCTCTGAATAAACTGCCTACTGCAATGGAAACTGCAGAACTGTTATTTCAGCACGTGTTCAGATACTTCGGCCTCCCGGAGGACATAGTGTCAGACAGAGGACCGCAGTTCGTGTCCAGGGTATGGCGGACTTTCTTCTCTCTCCTAGGGGTCACTGTAAGCCTGTCCTCTGGATACCACCCTCAGTCGAATGGGCAGACGGAACGCAAGATTCAGGAGATCGGGCGCTTTCTCCGGACCTTCTGTCACAGCCACCAGAACTCCTGGAGCCAGTTTCTAGGCTGGGCCGAGTATGCCCAGAACTCGCTACAACAGCCAACCACTGGACTTACCCCATTCCAGTGCGTACTCGGATACCAGCCGCCACTATTCCCGTGGTCCGGGGAACCCTCGGACGTACCATCTCTCGATCACTGGTTCCGGGAGAGCGAGAGAGTCTGGGACGAATCTCATCATCACCTTCAGAGGGCAGTGCGACGGCAAAGAATCCAGGCGGATGCTCGACGG